ATCATTTTAAGTTCATAATTGATCTTTTCTCACAAATAACCTGTGGCAGATTTTGTTTTCAAATCAGATAATATCTGTCAATAAGAAATTTAGCACATTCATAAAGCCATCTTATAGCTCAGGTGTTTTTTTACAGTTTACTATGTATATCTTGGTTTAACATCATTGATATTTTATATGTTTTACTTTATATTATAGTCTTTGTCATGCTTTCTGTTTCTTTACATTTTGTACTGCTGTTCAAATTTCTTTTTTTCTAATTTGGTGGATTGCTGCTTTCCAGTGCTGATTACCTGCACATTACTAACTGTTCATTGACTCTGTATTTTTATATTAAATAATGTTTTCTCCTCAGAATCTTTTGATTGTTCATTTCTCCTCTTCATCCAAGCTATAAAAGAACTTCAGATTTTATTTTTACATGTCACTCCCGAACAAGCTCCTTGGTTTTATGATTTTTCAGAAATTTTTGTTTAGTTCCATGAAAATATATTAGTTCTATTTGAGGAACTTAGTCAAGTGTGTAATTCCAAAACACACTTGTATTTTTTCTCAGTTCATTGATGTAAAATACTCATAACTTAAGCACCAAGCTTGATGGATTTGTATGTATGTATATACCCAAGTAATTACCACCCAGTATCCCATAAGAGTCACTGGTGTTGCAAGTTCCTCATCATTCTGACTTCTGTTATTGTTGATTAGTTTTGCTTGTATGCTTGGCTTTCACTCAGTATAGTTTGCGTGAGATTTATCCATTTTTCCCAATGTACCAGTTTTTCTTTCTCTTGCTATATAGTACTCTACTTTAGGATTATACTATAGTTCTCTCTTCTGTTGATAGACATTTGGACTATCTTCAGGTTTTGGCTTTTATAAACAAAACAACATTTTCTTCAGGCCTTTTGTTTGGTAAAAACATTCATTTATGTTGGGTATATAACTAGGAGAGGAATTGCTACATAAAACTTTAGTAGAAATTCCCAAATATTTTTTCAAAATATATATATTTATACTCCCACTGGCAAGTTATAAAGGCTCCAATTACTTCATGTTCTTGACAGTATCTCCATTTGTTTTTTTCTGAGTTTTTCATCTTAGACATCTCTGTATAGGACGTTGTGGCTATCATGTGAGAGTAGGGTGGGAGTAGGTACTAAATAGCGCATGAGGGAGCTTCTGGGTTTCAGGTAATGTTTGTTGATTGATCTGGATGCTGGTTATGTGGGTGTGCTCACTGGAAATTCATTTAGCCATTTGTACACATAAGTACACTTGTGCATTGTTTTTTGCATGTATTATCCTGCAACAAAATTACAAAATCACAAAAAGGTGACAATGACAAATTTATCTAAAAAAGTCTCAAGAATATTATAAGGTAAAACCAGGAATCAATAAGATTACTTATTTCATATGTAGCAGAATTTTTCTCCATGTTTCCTTCCTTAATTTTCTTACATCTGATCCTGTTTCCAAACATAAAGAAATGAATTGACATCAGTTTTTTATTAGTATGTTTAATAATAGTTATGTATTTTTTGACTTCCAAAATAATCAACAAAATGTGTGTATTTAAAGTGTATATTGTGATACCATGATATATGTATACATTGTGGAATGATTACTAAGATAAAGATAACTGACACCTCCATCACATCACATAGCTAACTCTTTTTTTTTTTTGGTGATGGTGAGAAGTGCTTAAGATTTACTTTTGGCAACTTTCCAGCATACAATACTACATTATTAATTGTAATCACCATGCTGTCATTGGATCCTCAGAACTTTGTCTTATAACCGAAAATTTATACCCTTTGACTTATATTACCCCATGTCTCCCTCTTCCTCTCCTGGCAACATGCATTTTATTCTTTGTTAATGTGAAATTGGCTTTCTTTCCTTTTAGATTCCACATATAAGTTATATAGTATTTGTATTTCTCTGTATGACTTAACCAGTTGGCATAATGCTTTCAAGGTCCACCCACATCATTGCAAATGGCAGGATTTCCTTTATTTTCATATAGCTGAGTAATATTCCATACATATATAAATATACATCCCCTCTCCTTCCCGCATTTTCTTTACTCTGTTGATGGATACTTAGGCTGTTTCCATGTCTTGGCTATTATAAATAATGCTGCAATGAACATGGGGGTGCAGGTATTTCTTTGGGATAGTGATTTCATTTCTTTTGGATTTATACCTGGAAATGGGATTGCTGGATCTTATAGCAGTTTTATTTGTAATTTAATGAGGAACTGCCGTGGTGTTTTTCATAGTGGCTGAGCCAATTTTTGTCCTCCCCCAGGGGAATGCACAAGGGCTCTTTTTTCTTCTGTATCTTCAACAACACTTGTTATCTCTTTTTTTTTTTCATATTAGCCATTCTAACAGGTATGAGGTTATATCTCATTGTAGTTTTGACTTGCATATCCTTTATGGTTAGTGATGTTGAACACCTTTTCATATACCTATTGGCCATTTGTACATTGTCTTTAGGAAAATGTTCAGGGCCTGGAGACTGAATTAATCACTAATGGCCAATGATTTAATCAAGCATGCCCATGTAATGAAGCTTCCATAAAAATCCTGAACTATGAGATTCAGAGAGCTTTGGAGCTGGTGAACACTTGGATGTGCTGGGAGGGTAGTGTGCCCTGAGGGTGCATGGGCATTCTGTACTCCTCCCCCCATTCATTGTCCTATGTCTCTAATCTGGCTATCCTAAGTTGTATTTTTCATAATAAACCATTAATCTTGTAAACAAATATGTGAGCTTCTGTGTGTGTACTGTTGACAAATTTTTCAACCTTTATGTGGAAAATGTACTTAGAAGAATATTTTTGGTGGATTTAGAATTCTCTGGTGACATTTTTGTTAGCTTTTTAAAATAACTTTCCTTTTTGATTTTCTTACTTGCAAAACTGCCTATTCAAATTTTTGCCCACTGTCTTCTGATTTCCATGGTTTCTATTGAAATGTTTGCTGTCAGTTTTATTATTGAGATGGCTTGCCTTTTTTCCCCTCATTAATTTATAGAAATTTTTATATTAGTGATAGTATTTATTTGTTAGATATGTGTATTCTGAATGTTGTTTCCCACTCTGTGTTCCATTTTTATTCTTTTTCTTTTGATAAGGTTGGGTTCTAATACAGTATGATTAATATAATTTGTGTCCTGTTTGAGAAATCTGCCTTTCCTGAGGTCGTAAAAGTATTTTCTATGACATTTACTAAAATTTTTATTTTAGTTTGTAAATTTAGATCAGTTTGCTGCCCGAAATGGATTTCTGCTTTCACTTAGGATAGCAATAAATGCTTACAATAATTAAGCCAGCACCATTTATTGAATTGATTGTCCTATTACTCTTGTCATTCTTCAGATGACCATGGGTCTGTTTTTGGACTCTCATTCATTCCATTTTCCATTTGAAAATCCTTATGCCTGTGTCACACTACCATAAAGGAATTTTCTGAAAGGTGGAAACAAAAATAACAATATATAGTTTTTAAAACTAAGAGATGATGATATGATCATATTAGTACACAGAAGAGCATGATTAGCAAAAACTGCCAGACTAGAAATAGAAAGGAATTTCCTCAGTGTGATAAAGGATTTTTGCAAATACCTACAGCAAATATCACACTTATGGTCAAATATGGAAAGTGTAACTTAAAACGAAGACCATGATGAGGATGTCTGCTGTCTTCAATTTTATTCAACATTTTCCCAAAGTTCTTAGAGTAATATGACAAAACAATAACACAGAAAACCCAAATAAAAGTATCCAAAATAGAGGTTTTAGAAACTGAATACAAGTTCAAAATAACACATTTCAGACAATCAAAGAATTTTAAAGGTATAATTAATAGCATGAAAAATATGAAAATCTCTGCAAAGGAAATTATGAAATATTATGCAAGGAAATAAGGAAGACACAAATAAATGGAAGGATATAACAAATTCTTGGATAGGCTGCTCGATATAAAAATGTCAATTCTTCCCATGCTGCATACAAATTCATAGTAATTTCAAACAAAATCACAGCAGATACTTTCTTGGATATTAGACTAGCTAATTCTAAAATATATGAAAATGCAAAGGCTAAGACAAGGGGCTTGTCTGTAATAGACAAGACCATCTTGAAAAAAGACAGAAGAAATACATTTTTTAACAAGTATATATTGTATAATTATCAATTGAACATATATAAGGATAATTATCAATATAACCTACCTAATGTTACATTGGTACATTAATAATGCCCCCTTCCCTTTTCCAAAAGAACTGCTTCTACAAGTAAAAAATCTGGTCACATAATTCCAAAATATGCTCAAACTTCTCATTTGGGTCCCCATTCTCTATAACAGTGATCCCTAAAGTTCAATATAACAGTTTGATTGGATATCTATGTGTTCTACTGATATTTCAAATATAAGAGTTCCAAAATCTTTCACTTCTCATTTTCTCCACATCCTAATCATTGTTTCTGAATTGAAGGGTTAGAACCTAAAATATATATTACAGTGAAATAAAATATGCTATCTTTTTATATTTTCAAGTTTTAAGTATAGAGTCAACATTTGTAATAAATTTATTGATGGTTTAATTATATAAATTACAAATATAAGTGTAAGTTCTTAAAAATACTGTTCAAGGTGGAAATTGATCATATATTTTGGAGACTTTTAGTCTAAAATTAGTGTGTAGTTCATTCCCTCAATACCTCCATGACCCTTTCTTTCATCACAGCTCCAGGCTGTATTCTCAACTCCTCCTATGCTGTTTGCCTTTTTGCTCATTTTCTGAGTGTGTTAGAGGCCATCTGCCTTTGCTTGTGCCTTGGTCCTATGTTCCTGAAAAACCTGGTAGTACTCTTCATCCAACAGATGTTCTCCAGCGAAGATCAGAATGGTTTGCAAAATGTAAACAGTAGTCATGATGAGGATTAGTTCCCATACAGCTTTTACCATGTCATCTCATTTTGGACATTTCAGATTGGACAGAAATTCTGGGGATCAGTATCATTTAAGGATGTGACCGTGGGCTTTACCCAGGAGGAGTGGCAGCACCTGAACCCAACTCAGAGATCCCTGTACAGGGACGTGATGCTGGAGACCTATGGCCACCTTGTCTCAGTGGGTAAGGTCTGTTTATTATGCAATTCTAAATAGCATTTTTAAATTCTTTTAATTATGAAGCATAGGTACACTCTTTTGAGTTTAATGATATTTAAAATGAGAATTTAAGAGTCATTGTTGATTTATCACTTCGGGGCACCAGGAGATTTGTGTTTACCTCTCCAGTAAAATGTTCAGTCATGCCTTCATTGAGTAGCTCTAGAGGTCCTCCTCTTTTAGAATCCCTGAAGTTGGTCTTAAGTCCTAAATTATTTCACTGTGACAGGTTATTGTGTTACCAAACCAGAGGTGATCTTCAGGCTGGAGCAAGGAGAGGACCCATGGATCCTGGAGGAAGAATTCCAAAGCCAGACCCATCCAAGTGAGCTAATGTATACTGCACAGATGAGCATTAGGGATTTATTATTTCTCAGTGGTTAATTCAGAAGTTGACAACTTTGAAATATTTTTTCAAGAGTGTCTCTTTAGAAGTCCTAATCCTTGGAAGTGACTGAGAATACTGATTTTTATATTTGTACTCACAAAAAATGTTCCTTTTGATTTGCTTTTTGAATGTTTACCTTTCTTAAATCTATCAGCAGCCCAGTCTTTGCCCACTTCAACTGCTGTTTTTCTTGGTTACTCTACATCTCTGAAAGTAATTTAAGTTGCCCACCTTATCTCTATTTTCTCTGCATTCCTGCTATTATCAGGTTTTCTTTTGTATGCTCATTTTTTGACTCAAATAATTTTTGAGTACTGAAAGCTGAGAGTATAATAGTGAAAAAAATGTGTGTCGTAATGAGTTTATATAAGTACTTCTAATGGTGAACAGTTACATAAAATGATGCGTAACATCACTAATCATCAGGGAAATGTAAATCAAAACCACAATTGGATGGAATGTTACACTACTTTAAATGGTGAGCATCAAGAAGACGAGATAACCAGCGCTGGCGAGGATGTTGGAGAAAGGGAACCTGTGCATTGTTGGTGGTAATGTAAATTGGTACAGCCATGATGTAAAGCAATATGGAGGTTCCTAGCATATTGTCTAGCAATTCCATTTCTGGGTACATAGTCAAAGGATATGAAAACAGGATATTGAAGAGTAATATGCACTTCCATGTTTATCATAGCATTATTTGCAATAGCCAGATATGGAAACAATTTAAGTGCCCATCAACAGATGAATGGATAAGGAAGGTGTGGTATCAATGTATAATGTAATATTATTTAGCATGAGAAAGGAGGATATCCTGCCATTCATGATAATACGAATGAACCTTGAGTTTATTATGTTAAGCGAGATAGTCAAACAGAAAGACACGTAGTGTGTAGTAGCACTTATATGTGGAATCTAAAATGCCAAACTTGTGGGAACAGTAACATAGTGGTCACCAGAGGTTGGGGGTGGAGGAATAGAATAGATATTGTCTCAGAGGACAGACTTAGTACTGAATAGTAGATGAGCCCTATACATCAAAATCACAGGTGTGTGAGTATAGACAACAATATTGTATTATAGTCAAACTTGCTAAAAGACTAGAAATTATTCTAGCCACTAATATGAAATAAATACATAACATGAAAAAGGTGCTAATTATCACTACAGTGTTAATCATTGTAGTAGTATAATATATAAGTATCAAAATAATGTACACCTTAAATTGTACACTATAAATACAGTTATAAATCATATGTACATTAACAAAAAACACTATAAATACATAAACATGTTTTTATGTATTAAATGCTCTGGTTGTAAAAACTATCAAATTGGAGAATGGTTAAATTGATTGTGTTAGTTTAAGAAGAGAAGTCAGAAGAAACCTTAAAGAGACTACCATTAGAACAGAATTTGAATGAAGTGCCATAATGATTCTGACTATTCTCAACAGGAGTAACGTCAACTTTTAATAAGCCCAGGGCAGGAATGCATTTGGTGTTATTGAAAAATAACAAAAAGTTGCAATTGACAAAGGGGAGTAGTTGATAGGAGAAGGGGTAGATAGTGATGTCAGGCAGCTGTGGTCCAAAAGATGAGAATATAACTCCTTTTAAGGTTTTAATTTTATTCTTAATTTATTAACGTATTTTGGCAAATGAGCAACATCTGATTTATATTTGTCTAAGATCTTTCTTACCTTTATAGAGAAAATATTGGGGATAACATAGGTCTTAAATAGCTCATTAGGGGACTGTTAGAGTTTTCCTTACTATTGTGGTTGCTTAGACAAAATTAGAAGGCATGGAGTAATGGGAAGAGGTTAGATTCTCTGTATTTGGAAAGTGGGGCAATAACAAAAGAGCTTAACATTTGTTTCATCAGAGTAATGGAGGGAGAGGATAGGATAGCACATAAGTATTTAAAGGAATAATGCAAACTTCCAAACTTTGTCAAAAGACATAAAAACCTCTCATTCAAGAATCTGAGTGAACTCCATATGAGATAAATCCAGACATTCATGCTCAAGGCATTACATTTATGAAAAGTAAAAATAAAAAATCTTGAAAGTAGTTAGAGAGAAACAATGCATTACTTTTGGGAATGTTGGTGGACTGGGAATGATCTGAAACCACAAGGCTAGAAGGAAATAGTACCTTTTTTCAAGTACTAAAAGAAATAAGCTGTCAAGTAAAAATTCTATATTATGAAAATACATTCATGAAAGAAGGGGAACTAAAGATACTATACAAAGGAAAATGAAATGAAAATATTGTTTGTAAACCTACCATAAAAAATGGCTAGAGGAACTTCTCTAAATAGAATATAACACAAAGCTTGGAACTTCAGAAAAGAACAAAAGTAGAAAAATTAGGGGTAAATATAATGGAGTTTCCTTCTCATGAGTTTCTGAAATCATATTTGATGATTGGAGCAGAATTTATAATATATTGATATTTTCTGTGTGTAGAGGAAATAATTCGTTTAAAAAGTAGGGAGGATAAAGGGATTTAAGTAGAGGTAAAGTTTTAAATGGTAAAATGTTGATCTTAGAAGACTATGATATTATATATGTACAATTTATGTTGAAATGCCCTAAAATACCTGGAACAACCACTAGAAAACTGCAGAAAGTGGTACAGTTAGAAATACTGTTAATAAGTCAGGATGGAATCTTTAAAAAATGTTCAAGTAACCAGTAGGAAAATAAGAAATTTGGAACCTATGAATGAGAAACTTGACAAAACAAACAAAACAAATGAAGTAGCAGAATTAAGTCTATTCTAGCAATGTTTACACTAGGTGTATATGATTTCAATACAGGCACATACCTCAGAGGTATTATGGATTTGGTTCCAGACCATGGCAGTAATATGAATTATCACAATAAAGTCAAATTAATTTTTTGGTTTTCAAGTGCATGTAAAAGTTATACATTATACTATAGTCTGTTAAGTGTACAATAGAATTATGTCTGAAAAAAAGTACATGCCTCAATTAAAAAATACTTTAATGCTAAAAAGTGCTAACCGTCATCAGTGAGTTGTAATGTCTGATCACAGATCACCGTAACAAGTAATAATAAAAAAGTTTGAAATACTGTGATAATCGAAACATGACACAGATATGAAGTGAGCAAATGCTGGAAAAATGCTAGTAAATGTGATAGACACAGGGCTGCCATGCCTTCACTTTGTGGAAAAAATGTAATATCTGCAAAGCATAATAAAGTGAAGTGCAATAAAATAAAGTACGCTTGTACACCAATTAAAATACAAACTGACAAAGTGGATCAAACCAAAAACATGATTAAAAAATAGGTTATTTATAAGGAAACCCACTTCAAATACACCATAATAAAGTTGATAGAGAATAGAAAAAGTTATATCATACAAACATTAATGAAGACAAAAGCAAGGATGGCCCTATTAATATCAGATAAAGTAGTTTCCAGAGCAAACAAAATTATTAGACAAAATAGGGACATTCCAACATAAAGACAAATGTGGTCCCCCCAGACAGTAGAACCTCAAAGTATACAAACCAAATCAGATGAACTAAAAGGAGAAATAAACCCTCAATTACATCTGGGGAATTAACCACCTCACTTTCAGCATTTGGTAGGACTACTAGATATTAAATCAGCAAATAAGGAATAATTCTACTCTACTCAACTGAAGCTGTTCTTGAACTAATGTGTGTAAAGCTGCCAGTTTTTCTTTATTGAGGGGCCATTGATCCACCCAAACAGGAACAGGGATAATGTTTCCCTGTTTGTGAGCCTTTTTGAAATCTCTTAATATATTAGTCCAATCAGCTTGTCTGAGGGTTCCTTGTGGGGGCAACCAGTAACAATTTTTTAAAATATATTTATGAGGTTGCACAAAATCTTTTTCAGAAATTTTCACTCCTGATGTTTTTAGGAGGGCACGGAGTAATTTTAAGTAATCCTCCGGATTATCTGCTTTAGTTTCATGTTGGCCCATTATAGTGTCCCTGACATCTCTATCCTGTCCCTACATACGCTTGCCCGGGAGTCCCAGATATGGAACAGCACTATCAACCAACAGGATTGAAGCAACGTTTATAGAACACTGCCCAACAGCAGGATACACATTCTTCTCAAGTGCCCATGGAACATTCAGAAATGTAGAACATACCTTGGGATGTAAACAAACCTCAATAAGTTTACAGAATTGAAATTGTGCTCAGGGAAGGCAAGTAGTGACTCTGGCATCTTACTTCACTGATGGACAGTGACTGCAATGCGGCATGTGTGGTGGGGGTGGGGGGACTCAATAATATAGGTGAATGTAGTAACACATTGTTTTTCACATGAAAGTTTCATAAGAATGTATATCAATAATACCTTAATTGAAAAAATTGTAATAACAAAAGAAAACTTTTTAAAATTGTGCTGAATATGTTCTCTGACCATTATGATATCAAACTATGAATCAATAACAAAGGCAATAGAAAAATACCCAAGTGCTTGGAAATTAAAACACATCTAAGTAAAATATGTGTCAAAGAAAGCTCAAAGGAAAATTTAGGAGTACATAAAACTGAATGAAAATGAGATACCTTGTCAATGTATGTGGGAAGCAACTAAAGCAGGGCTGATAGGGAAGTTTATGGCACTGAATGCTAATATAAGATGAAAGATTTTAACTCCATAATTAACTTTCTACTTCAAGAAACTGGAAGAGAGCAAACTAAATTCACAGCAAGTAGAGGGAAGAAAATTATTAAAAAATTAAGAGCAAGAATCAATGAGACTGAAAATAGGAAAACAAAGTGAATGAAGCACAATGCTGGTTCTTTGGGAAAATATTAATGAAATTGATCAAGTAGCAATCTTGACAAAAATTATAAGACAAATCAATATCAGGAAGGAAATGGAGGATTGTGGGATTAATGGGATTATTAATACA